AGTGGTTCATTGCACCTTAAAACAATGAATTCACAATATCTTTAACCATGTTATTTGTTTAATACTTTATTCAGACCTGAGCTCGATATGATCAAGGTTACACAGTTGTGGAGGGGTTGTAGGAAGGTAAAGCTGTTATGTGCTCCTAATGTGTCATAAAAGCTCACAACAAGCACAGACTCAGACTGACTGCTGTGATGACACTTTGCCAGGGTGTTACGTTCTCTCGGTTATTAGGAAAGTGTTACGACTGTGTCTTCTTTGCTCGCAGCTTCAGGCATTTTTCCTGGTGGCAGATGATATGATGGATGGATCTGTGACTCGGAGAGGACAACCCTGCTGGTACAAAAAGGTGAGGCTTTATATTTTACAAAAAGATACTCAAACGCCTTGTTTGTTTATATGCGATTATTCATTTTCCACTATTAATGGTGTGCTCAGTATCTCAGGTGAATCATGTGTGTTTGTTTTGAAGGATGGGATTGGTCTGGATGCCATCAATGATTCGTTTCTCTTGGAAGCGGCGATCTACAGACTTCTGCGCAGACATTGCCGGGAGCAGCCCTACTACGTCCACTTACTGGAGCTATTTACTGAGGTACTTTACGTCCTGATTGATTAAACAGGCCTTCACATTGACACATTGTTCTTACTGCATGTTACCGCTGTTTCAGACCTCTTTCCAGACCGAGCTTGGCCAAGCTCTGGACCTCATGACGGCCCCCCCTGGTCAGATTGACCTCAGCAGATTTACAATGGCAAGGTAGTGAAGAAAATCAGTAAATAAATGTTCAGAGAAAGATGTTGCTTCCAAAAGTAAATGTGAATATTTGATTCTGTTCTTGTCTTTCAGATACAAAGCTATTGTGAAATACAAGACGGCCTTTTACTCATTTTATCTCCCAGTAGCAGCTTCAATGTACATGGTGAGTTTGTTTCTTTACTTTTGTGGTGTGTTCAAATGAAACAGAGTAGTATCAATCAAATATTTTTCTCAACTACTTCACCTTACTTTTTCAGGCAGGAATTGAGAGTGAGGAGGAACACAATAATGCCAAACACATCTTACTTGAGATGGGAGAGTTCTTTCAAATACAGGTAATTCCTTAAACGTGTCATCCCTCTTTCCCGTCACGTATTGAATCATTTGCATCAGACTATTCAGTGTTGATAACCACCCTATGTGTATCATTTGCAGGATGACTACTTGGACTGTTACGGAGACCCTGCTGTGACTGGAAAGATTGGTACTGACATCCAGGATAATAAATGCAGCTGGCTGGTGGTGACGGCCCTGGAAATAATGACTGCCGAACAGAGAGCAGAGCTCGAGGTGGGACTTCAGATAACAACCCTCTGTTTTAACACTTTTATATATCCAAATAACTTGTATTCAAACTATGGTTAGATATAATTGCAGGGAATTTGTTGCCAGCACATAAATTCAATTTTGAAAGTGTGGTATTTCACTATAATGTAGGCCAACCATGCGTTCACTCGGCGGGTTTACTCCCTATTTCCATCACAAAATTATAAGAAGTATGCATAAATACTTAACATTTGGTTAGTACATGCAACAGATAAAATACAATGATATAATTACATCTCAGAATCAATTACTAGTGGACAGATTCTCAAATGTTCCTTTTGATTAAATGTTATTAATGCAAAATATACCACCATAAGAAAATTGGTCATTCTTCAAGTAAGTAGTAAAATGGTGTTTTAAAAGATAGAAACGCAGCACTGTGTGACTATATAAGTATCCCTTCTTACAAATCTTTTAATACTCCTATGTCTAATAAAATAAAAACAGGTCATAAAACCTAATATAACAATTCAAACAAACAGAATTGCTTCTCTGCAATAGATACAAATATTTATTAAAACGTACATAAAAACATGATTTATTGTAATAATGTGCTAGAACAGAGAAACTATGTTTTCTATGGTTCTGACCTCTGAACTCTTCCCTGTAGGATGTTTAAAAAAGTTCTATCTGAGTTGCTTTCTTGAAGATGATGAGCAAATCTTAAATCTGTCTTCCTCTCCTCTTGTAGGCATGTTACGCGCAGCATGATGATGCCTGTGTGGAGCAGGTCAAAGCTCTGTACAACACCCTGCAAATGCCAGCTTTGTACCACAAATATGAGGAAGAGAGCTACCAGCGGCTCCAGAAACTCATCGCGTGTCACGCTCAAAACCTTCCCCACTCAGTCTTCCTCAACTTTGCTAAGAAAATATACAAGAGGAACAAGTGAGAGGACAAACAGTGTCACATTTATGAGCCTGGGCCCATTTTGGGTTTGTTCATGACGCACAGATTAACTCCTCGCCATTATTAAAGAGGGTTCGTCAAGGACAAGGCTGACTCCGATCAGCATGACCAGAACAGCTCTTAAAAATCCTGCAGGCAGTTTCTTATGGTTGGTTGTTTGTAGATATCTGGTTTTGACTGTCATTAAACAGCCTGCCTCTTCTGGTCCATGCTACCTATTTATTAAACGCAATGCATAATCAACAGTGTGTTGTTTTCTCTATTGAAGAAACCTGTAGATTGAAGAATGTGAAATGATTCACATATGCTCTAGCATTCATATAAGTGTGCACTGTTGACTGCAGAGCAGGATAGAGAAACATATCAGAGTAGAAATAGTTGTAATTGTTTAAATACAGATGTATTAGTTGGTTAGGGACTACAAGTAACAGTACATTTATGACAGCAGATGCACTCTGTCAAAGGGCATCTTTCTAATTCCATATATTTTCATATTGCTGCTGTAAAATCTGTACTGAACTGAATGTTATATCTTTAAATAAATAATAATGTGAAGACTATATTTCTTTCTATTACATGTTTTTGATGATTGTAAAGCAAAAAACTATAAATTCTTTCAATAATATAAAATACTTATATGAAATATATTGTTTTGATTATCTATTCATTGTTTCAGCCATTTATTTTACAAAAATGACAATGCTTATTTTTCCATGTATGATAGTAATTCAATAATGGGGTGAATATAGTGGGGATTCTTGACATTATTAGATTGATCAAGAATATAGTTGACACATTAATAAATGATTACAATCAAGACTAGAAGCAGTAGTTGGGATATGTGAGGAGGATTGTATGTTAGTTAATTTCCTTAAAGCAGATTAATAAATGCATGGATGAGCTGCAGATAGGATGATGTCATAGGCAAATGAGGCTCTTCCCTGCAAAACTAATTATTTGAAGGACTTGAAGCTGAAAATGACATAAGATAAATTGAATGTGATGATAAGGAAAGTGAGGGTGGGGTGGGGTCGGTTGGGTTGGGTTTGGTGTGGAGGGGTGGGGGGCGAATGGGTTTAATCGGATAGCGCTCGCGAGAAGAGTACCAGTTTCGAGTTGCTAAGGCTGCCGTCGGAGAGAGAGTCACTTTTTCACACGGACGGGATTGTTGAGCGAAGCGACGACGAGATGGGAGCACCTTCATCCATCTTTACATGAATCTGACTTGAGTCGAGTCGGTATTTTGTATCCTTCTATATACATATGTCTTTAACAAATAAATAAATGTTTTCTAATGAACCTGCATAGTGGGTGGTCAGAAAAAGCGAAAGCTGCTTATTTGTTCCACATTCGGATGCGTGCTCTGTTATCTATATGACACTCTGTGGCATTCTTTATTGTGTTAATTTGGCATGTGATTTCTCTCCTTGTCAACGCAGCATCTTGATCTTGTTGAGAATCAAAATGTATATTATTATCAATCGGTTTTATACTGCATATCTTAAATATTTATGTGTAATATTTGAGAAATAGTAGGGCGAAATGGGCCTGTGGGCTATATGAGCGCGCGATGCGGATGGAGGTTACTCCTCCCCCCTTCCTCCCTCCCTGTCTCCATCAGCTCTGCTGGATCAATAAATGCATGGGGTAAATACTGCGAACGGGTTAAATTATACGTACATTTGCTGTTATTTTTGTTTTATTTCATGGCTTTGTTAGCTTCAATGTTCATTCCGACGAAGGCCTAGTGCTAGCTTACTAGAGTGATTTATATTCCTCACTGATGTGAAGGGCACTGTGGAGGAATATATGAGTAATAGCTAGATGGGTTTTAAAAAGGCAGACTCAGTGTTGTTCAGAGCTGCTGCTTATTTCATGCTCCAGTTACATTTTAAGTCATTGCTTCAGGTACTGTGTTTTTTTTGTAAACGTTATTTCTTTTGATCTACATCCTAGGCCTCTTGTCAACTTGTAAGGAAGGGCTGGCACAGATGGAGACAGTATAAGTCATGATAATCAGTGCTCAGTGGAGCTGAACATGACTGATGAAGATTATGAGTGACAGTTATTAAGCGAGGAATTAGCTGACAATTATTATCATAGTGATTCTTAATATTTGTGGGTGGCTGTTTTCTGAATTTGAATACCAAGGAGACAGCATATTGAGGCAAACATGCACCCTAAAAAACATATGGACATTTTCAAGTATTGGTGTAATTGAGCAATTTCTGAATATTTACAAAAAATAAAAATCTCTTGTTTAGTCTGACCGATGGTCTAAATGTTCTGTTATGTGCAGTTGTCTTTCATAAAAGAGTCCAAACACATACGAGTATTCACATTTGAGAAGTTGGAACCAGTGAATATTTGACTTAAAAGATTAATTGAAAATCAATATAGTTGCTGATTCCTTTTCTGTCTATCTTTTATTTACTATTTATGTTAGTTTGATTATAGTCCTTTTGTGTTGATCCCTTTTCTTTTCTACAGTGCTGTGTGTAAGACAGTTTGTGTTCATCTCAGGAATTGGGCTGAGATAATTATAAAACAAAAAGCCCAAAAGCAATCGTTTTAATGAATAGTCCAGATGGTGGGTTTAAACTTCAAAGACTTTGGTGAAAACGTGTTAAGAGCAAGAAAACAGTCTACGTTTGCAGAGAAGAATTTTGCTGCTAGTCGTTATTCACTGTGTGTCTCCCCTCCTTTGATGTTACAGGATCTTGGGAGTCAAGCCAAGATGTGACCGTCACCGCGCGTAATTGTTTGGATCCGTCCTGCCTTTTCAACACTTGTTTCTATAGCAACAAAAATATCAGAGAACACTTAAAAGTCCCTTTCCAACCATGCAGTCCTCTAGTGGCTCCTCTCAGCCTCCAAAGCCGCGGCGCTTTGACGTCAGCAGGCGGACCAATACCGTGGCTGGACTGAAGTCTCATGGCCCCGGTTTTCAGAGGGAGGATAAGAACATGAACACGATCGCCGCGGCCTCCCCACGCCGAGTTACCAAAACCCCTGTTGCAGCCACCAGGACCAGGGTGGGGGTGCAGCCTCGAGCACCGGTCACCCAGTCCAGGTTTGTCTCGCAAAGGTTGAGCCAACAAGGTCCCACCATCTCCAAAACAGCGAAGCCCAAACCCAAGACTCGTGCATCTGCCGCAGCCAAAATTGCACCAGCGGCCGCTCCACCTCCACTTCCCTCCGTTCTCCCTCTTGACACAAACTGCAACGAGCCGAGCCTCCCTTGTCTTTGCTGCGATGGCCGCTCCCCGCAGGACAACAACAGCATGTTTAACCATAACCACAACAACAACAACACCATCTCTATCCGACAGCAACTGAAGCTACCGCCTCCTCCGGCCCCCTTGCCACAGAGGCAGGATGGGAAAGGAGCCAAGGAGCCGTCTCAGCCTCCGTCACAAGCGCAGGCCCAGCTGGAGGCCTCCGCCCGCCCTGCTGCCACTCTGGAAAACAAAGGCAAGAACGCAGCCGCTAGCGCTGATCTGGACAACAAGAAAAATGTCAAAGTAGAGGAAGAAGATGACGATGAAGACAGTGGGGATATTGATATTGATGATGATGAAGATGAGGCTGATGACGATGATGATGACACCCTGGTCCCCTCGTGCTGTGACTGTCCCCCCTCCTTACTGGAGTTCTCGCTGTCCTCCTCCACCTCCTCGTCCTCCACTTCCATCAGCTCCTGCTCTGATCTGGAGTCTGACTGTGCAGATCAATCCGCCTCCATCTGCTCTTCCCACGACGAAGACAACCTGTCCCTCGCTCTGTCCCCCAAAGACCACTCTCTCCCACAAGCCCGCGAATGCAAGCCTCCTGCGCGTTCACCCCCATCCCTTCCTCTTAACTGCAACCCCTTCATCCTGACGTCACACTCCCCAATTCCCCCGTGCTCCCCAGATGAGGGTTACCCCTCTGCCCTGGACTCCCCTTCTCCAGACTACTTAGGAGTCAAAGGTGATTCAGAGATCAACAAACTAGGTTTGCTTGACTTCCTAGAGTCAGTAGGGGAGTTTGGGAAAATGGAGCGCTTCAGCCAGGTGATCCAAGTGGCTCGTTGGGACCTTGAGGGGGAGCAACACTGGGATGTTCTGAGGGATCGACTAGACCACCTGGACCACCTGGAGAAGGTGAACAGGGAAGTAAAACTGGCTTACATCGCCAAACTCCACGAGAAGGGATTTGATCTTGGGGATCTCGAGGAGCAAGATCTGTCAGATGTAATGGATGAAATGGGCAACATCGACATTACCTGGAAGTTGTATAAAAGCAGTAGAGGAGCGATGGGAGACTCTCAGGAGTTTTCAGATGCAGGGGTTGATCTCACGGCTCCTTCAGACTGTGAGGACCCTCTCCTTCCTGATTCCCTCACTCCTTCTCCTGTAGGGCCACCACCGAGACCCCCCAAACCCCCAGCGCGTCATGCCAGCGTGAGCTCTGACCTCCACACCTACATCAATATCAGCAGGGAGACGACCTCCATGGCTGTCTCCACCTCTCCCACCCTGTCTACTTTCTCCCCTAACTCCTCGTCCCCCACTTTCACAACTTTTAGATGTGAGAAACCCCTACCTCCATCTCCACCCTCCATTCCTCCCCTCCCAACTTCTAAACCTGTCCCTTACCTCACTCTTTACACCACCCCTTCTCCGCCTCCATCACTCCCCACCCCAACTCCTCCCATTCCTCCCCCTAGGAAGCGTCACCTTGCCAGGAAGGAGGCACAGCGGCTCGCTGCTCTTCAGGCCCTACAGGAAAGCACCCCCTTTTCCCTCCCTCCGCCTACCACACGTCCCCCACCTCTGCCTCCCCCGCCAGTTATCTCAATCTCCTCCTCATCTCCCCCTGCCATACCACCTCCACCTCCACCTGTCCTGCCCTCTCCCCCATCCTTCCATGTACTAGATGTAGAGATTCATAAGCTTTTGATGCTTGCTGGAGTGACCCAAGCGGAGCTTCTCAAACTCAGCCCAGAGCTCAGTGTTTGCGTTGGAGGGTTAGAGGATGAAGGAGATCAAGATATCTCGTCCAGGTGTGGGGATTCTTATGAGTTCAGATTAAATGAGAGGGAGGTGGAGAAGGATTGTTACAGAGATGGATGGAGCAGCAGAGGCAAGTTAGATGGAGATCGAATAGCTTATATAGCTCAAGAAACCAACAAGGAAGAGGAGAGCACACAAAGAACCACCTCGTTCACTGAGATGGCGAGGAGGAGGAAGAGGAGCTGCGGTCTGACCTCCGACCCCTATTACAGCGCTGGTTTTAGCAATACACATGAAACTAAAGCAAACAACATTAGCTTTGATTCTTACCGGTATTCTGCAGAGGAGCTAGATTCACCTCCCCCTCCACCTCCTCCTCGTCCTTTACCCCCAATCCCCCCATCTGTGCAATCCCACAAAGTGAGCACTCTTGTGGCTAACTCTGCACAGCCTGATCGATTTGATTGGCTAATAGCGTTCACACCTGAATGTGAAGGCCCACCAAAGCTTCCACTCCTTGCAATGAGAAAATCTCACGTGGTGAGTCAAAAGAAGCTCAGCTCATCGGGGTCATCTCCAGGTTCAGCTCCACACGTCACAACTTTTAAAGAGCTTCGTTACGGCAACAAGAGCACCTTCCTGCAAACAAAGGTGATCACTGATCCGGACCCTGACCCAAACGTTATCACTCCAGATGCAGACATCCTGTACAACCTGAGGTGGAGACGACAGATGGCAGGCGGAGACGGCAACGAATGGGAATACACTTCTCAGGCTCAGGCCTTCTTCATGCAGCCGCCACCAGCCCTTACTTCAATGGCCGCTCTGAAGGAAATGCTCCAGAGAGCTGACGAGGAGGGTAGACAACCCGAGCTGTGCCCAATACAGAAGATTGGCTGCTCGGTCAGTGACAGCAGCCTGTGGACCACGGGCAGAGAGTGGGAGGCTGAAGGAGTCAAGAGGGAGGAGAAGGAAGGGAAAGAAGAAGGGGAGGAAAAGGTGGTGTTGGAAGTTGAGGTGCGGGGACGAGCCGACGGAGGAAGGACTCTTGAAACAAGAACCACAGGTGAGTATTATAATCAAAATGATGCAAGTGCTAATAAAAGGGCAGCTGAATTCAATGATATAGGGGAGAAGGTCTGCATGGGTGTGTGTGTGGGTGTGGGAGAAAAAAAAACACGTCAAATTAAAAATGTTAACAACACAACTCATCTGGAATGGACAGATGATGAAAAGAAAAAGATGGAATCGCTTTTCTGGAATGCACAAATTACAACCTTGGACAGTACAATAGAACAAATCAGAAAAGCAAGAGTTGAGTCATTTATTGAAAATATGTAGCTTTTGGAACGAGAGCATCGAGATGAAGGACAAGCATGAGTCACAGAAAGGATGATGTGTGATGGATATATGTTGACAAGGGATAAACAGAAGGTGATTGCAGACGTGAAGTGAACAAGACAGTGGAAGTGAAGCTGCAGAGGGAAAATGACCACCAATGAGAGATGCAGGGATACAGACAGTGAGGAAAGTGAGCGTAACATGAGGAGAAAGAGGAAGTTGAACACTTTCCAGACAGTCTTTCCTGCACTCGTTATCAAAGTTTGATGTCATCACTGCCTTATTTAATTATTCATCTGCTCTTCAGACCAATGAGGGGGATTATGGAGCGCCCACTGAGCTCTCCACTTTCTTCCCCCTTTTTTTTCACCTTAATCTTCTTTTTGCATTCTTTTAGTTTATTTCTTAAATATGTTTGTATTTGTTTCCTCTGCCTTTTTACTGGTTGTCCATCCCATCAACTTGGGATGCTTTCCTCTTTGCTGTCTTCTCTGTTCTCGCCGCTCCCAACCCCCACCCACCCTCGCTCCCTTAGAGTGGCACAGATAGCTAAGATCAAGTTACTTATCTCATGCAGTGCTGCAGTATACTACATAAAAACTAAGGATGAGATAGTTTGAAAGGGTGTATGTTGGATTTCAATTGCTCATATTCATCCCCAATCGGCTTCACGTTTTTACAGTAAAATTACCTCTCTGATTTTACAAGTACTCTAACATTTTTCAGACTTTATATTTGCTGAGTTTTATGCTGCAGGAGTTTCCCTCTAAAACCACTGCAACAAGCCAGCAATAGGTGTGTACACCTTTAAGAGCCCAAGGGGTGGATCTTAGCACATGGACCAATGGCTGAGAGCCAGTGCCAGAAAAATAGGAAGTATCATGTGTTGTTGCAGTTCAAAGACAGCTCAAGTCTAACAAAGGTATGATTGTTTTTTAGCTGATTTTGTAACTCATAACTTAGGAGTCTGTTACAGGTAAGTGAAGGTAATGAAAACGGTTGTTGCTACAGTCTCTGAATATCCATAGAGAGACAGATGGTGATTGAGCAGGAACGGGCAGAACTCTGCTATCTGTTGACTGACTCAGCATTACACTGTATGCTTTGCTGCTGGAGAGGGGAGGGGTGGTGGGGAAGCAAAAGGATGTAAAAAACGAAAGGCATAGAAGAGAAAGACAGACAGGCATAGAGAGGAAGGTGATCCAGAGGTGATGATGGCACGCACTGCAGTAACGTTTAAAACACTGTGCTGTGAACTCTCAAATTCAAGTATGAAAAGAAAGTGAAAGCAGATGCCGTAAAGTAAACCTCACATTGAAATATGATGGACCTTTGTGATTGATGGTGACATTTTAATGATGCTGTCATTGGTGAATGAGTGGCTGATTGACATGCTGAGTATTTCTACCGTGCAGCTGCAAAACTGCTCAACAGTTATCCTTTTATGGCCAGGGTATCATTTCCTGTTGTGTTAAATCGTTTTAAAGGATAGACTGTGGTTATTGCTCTTCATAAATCAACTCCATTGACTCTCATGTGTAACTGTCAATCAACTGTTTGAATTCTGCATTACTGCATGATGTTACATGATGACGATATCTGCTGGAATACACTCATGTGCATTTTTCTCTCGACAGACACTAACATTTTCGACATCTCTCTCTCCTTCCCATTTCTCTGCCACATTTATTTTTTTACTTTTACCTTGATACCCTGTTTTCCTCACCTATCCATCCCATTCTGTTGTTTCCATTGTTTGTCCATTGCTCCGCTTTGCTCCTTCATATCGCTTTGCTTGTGCGCCTGCCCTCTCCATCCTGACTCCTGCTCCAATGTTTGGCTTTTTTAATAAGTAGTTTCCTCTCCACCACTGTCCCTCGCCCAGTCCTCCCAACCCTACTTCCTGCACACTGCCCTCCCTTCCTATCACCCAGGCTACTGTAACGCCCAGCCCTTTGCAGATCCCAGACCCCACAGCCATGCAGGCAGGGAGTCCAAAGACAAATACTGCAACACACCGACCCCCCCTGCTGCCAGCTCAGCTCGTATCCACAGAGATGATTCTGGCACTGACATGAGCTTCGGCTTTAACTTTCAATCCCTGGATGATGTTAGTGTAGACTCTCCTTGTGATTATGGGACTATCTTTAACACACAGAGGGACTTTGCGTCTGACTCTCCCTGTCATTTTGACTCCCTATACTGCTGTAACTCAGGCACACACGTTAAGTCAGACACACCTGATATTAGTGGCACCACAGTGGCTCCGGGCTGCACCACCCCATATAAGAACATAGATGTCATGATGACGTATTCAAACAGTATCAACGCATTCGATTCGCTGCATTCAGAAAAGCGCCCACACTCTCACACAGACAACAGAAACAAGGCCAGGACGTCCAAAGAGCTTCCTCCTCTCCCTACATATTACCTGTACCACCCTAAAAACTGCCCTCTGCACAGGGGATCCCCTCCTCGTCTCTCCCCTATCGGTGCCCTCTCCCCTCCCCATCGCCCCGGAGCCCCCCCGCCATGCACTGCAGGCTTCCACCTCAACTCCCCGCTTTTCCCCCGCTCTCACACCTTGCCTGCCCTCGCTGCTCCCCTCTACTATCCAAACCTTTACCCTCCTATACCGCCAAGGGCGCCCCCCCTTCCCCCAAAACTCTACCAGGCTCCTCCGCAGTCACACGTGGCGAGTAAGATTTCTCTCTCTCTTCTCTCTCCCCACGTCTTAAACTCTCTTTCTATTTGTCTGACATCTTGCTTGCAAGCACGTCCGTCTGTCTTTCTTACTGTCTGTTTCTGACCTGGATATAGTGTCCCTAACACTTTTGTTGCGACCCGAGGGATTTGCAGATTTGAAAGAACTGTGGCTGCATCAGAAGGTAGCTCCCTGCAGGTCATCTGATACGTCTTATCTTCACTGTCCTTTCAAATCTGCAAAGGGCCTTCAATGGAGTGACAGCTCTTCCTGTCTGGAGTCACTATCATCACTTTCTTTCTTTGTCTTCCTCTGTCTGTCCGTCTGTCTGTCTTTGTGTCTGTCTCGTCCGGTCAGTCTCCATGTTGTTTTTGTTTTATGCACGATGTGTTGAAATGTAAACATACATTACACGCCAGGCACAATCCAAGTAACTAGTCCATGATGTTGTGAAATTGAGTTAACATGTTTTCCTTGTATGTGTAGATTGAAGGCATTTTAAAGTACATGTTTTAAGATTCACTGCATCTTGTTCATTAAGTGATAGTCTGTATTTATATAACTGGTTTATATAAATCTATTTATATGAACATTACACTGGACACAACACCTGCCCTTTATACATTATGTGTAATTGTATACAACCTGACTGAGCTTCAACAACTGTTTCCCGCCACGCTCAGAGATTCCTCCTATGTTTGCTTATATTAAGTATGTATGAGTGTATTGTTTGAATGTGAGTCAAGATTAATGCATGGGAATCTGTTTATCCCTTTGGCATACAGAAAGCTGTTTTTACAGATACAGATGTTGAAAGCTAATACTAGTAAACCAATATTTATAGGATGTCCTCACACACTGTTTTCCGTCAGTAGTACCATCTGCTTTTATTTGCCTACTCAAATTCTTCTCATTGCTTAATGGCTCCTACTAACACTAATATTCTAGTTTTGGTATTGCTCTCTGTTGTGACTCATCTTTTTTTAATCTGTTGAATTTGTATTCTTTTATACAAATTACAGTAAGTAATTGCTCTTCTGCTGTTGCTGTCAGCTGTCCGCAGTGTCTCATTCGCTGGCTCTGTTCAGAGGACAGAGGCATCCTGGATGGGCGAAGATGTGAAGCATCCAATGAGAGGTCTGGGCCTGTCCTCTCTGTGCCTGCAGGAAAAGAAAGGTGTGCCTTTCATCCGTGTGTGTGTTTGTGTTCACCTGTCCAACTGTGTGTCTTTGTCCTTGATACATGTCCATATCTCCTACATATTAACTGTAATGTATTGTTCTTCCCTCCAGCTCTGGTCAGTGCCGTCAGTGTGGCAGTGGAAGCCATCTTGGCCCAGTTCAGCTCTTCTCGGACTGTAGTTCAGAAGGTCAGTCACAGCTGAATTTACATATTTTGAATAACAAGTTGTTTGTTTAACTATCAATCAATGTGTACTTCACTCTTGGTGATGAAACATATTGATTTGTTCATCATTGAAAATACTTTCTTTCCCTTCCTTCTTGTTCTGACTCTAAATATTTTTGCTCTGTCTCTCCTCAGTCTCTCTCAGTTAACAAGGTACTAGAATATCTTTAGATAACCCAATCTTGTAGACTCAAGACTCTCTTTATAAACTAACTCCAATCCCCTAAATCATGTCTCATCACATCATACTGACCCACATTACCCCTGTTTCTCTCCAAACCCCATTCATTTGTCCTATTTCTTCTCTCCTCCCTCTCTCTTGAGTCATTCTTTCTCTTCCATTCCCTTGTCTCTCCCTATCACTGCACGTCATCTTCTTCCTCTCCCTCCCTCTCCTCTCCCTCCCTCAGGCTTTATCAGGAGACAGCACTATAAATCCATCTCTGGGCCGTCTGGTGCTGCAGTGCCTCTGCCCTGCACTGCACAGCTTGCTGACCGATGGCTTGAAACCTCATCAGAGTGACCTGATTGCAGGCAGGAGGCCAAATTCAGCCTGGGGTTTGGTCCAGGCATCAACCAAGCCAGGTACCACTCTACGAATCCTAGGAGAATTAGCATTTATAGACTTGGATATTGAGGAATTGCTATGAATTGCTTTTTTCCCCTGGTTGATAATAATAAGCCCTGGGTTTTTTCCGGCTCTCATTTTCCCACACATCATTCAATACTTTTCTTTAGCGTCTAAAATGCTGAAGTGAACCACCGGATGCAGATATCGATTGGCCTATGAGTGCCAAGTTTCACTGCAATTTTTTGCTTGCCTCTCTTTTATATAAATGTTCTCTTTTTCCTCTCGACTCATTTCAAGGTCCAAAAACACAAGCATTGTTCAACCTAAAAGTTCGAATTGGAGAGCTGCCTCAGCTCAGACAGAGCAAACACCGGTTCAACGCATTCCTCCTTGGCCTACTCAAGTAAGCACTGGCTTCTTATCCTCTCTTGTCTCCTCTGTTGGCATGCAAAGTGCTCAAATCTGTAGTCAAATATTCTAAATTCATTTGTTATACTGTATTTCAAATGCATCCTCAGTTTTCCTTTTCTCTCAATGTTTTCTTCTAGTACAAAGCTTCTTGATTTCTGGCTGTCTCACCTTCAGTCTTGCAGTGGTAAGTTTCCATCACTTCCCTCTCATCCTTGTGAGCATGCATGTGTGTAACAGTGATCTTGTCATGGAATCCAAAACCTTAGACACTCAAGACATAACCAAATAGAAACACAGACACGCTGCTGATTGAAGGAATTATTATATTGTTGTACAACAGTATAAGAGCCAGAATACTTGCGTCAAGTCCGCCAAGAGTATATATGTGTCTGTCTAAAGAATAACAGAATCTTACATGTTTCATACACTTCTTTTTAGTTTACACAGCACTATACCTTTAGACCTTCTACAATGACATGTTACAAGATCCAAGATCACGTTGCAAACAGACATGTGTGCATTCATGGTACAAAGGTCTCTTTAGATACACTAAATGATGAAACTCATGAGCATGGCTTACAGCACATGATCATATAATATAGATTATTTCAACAATCTCTCTTCCTCTCAGATGTGCTGGAGACATACTCACAGTAGGTTCAAGAATGACAGAGAGGTAAAAATCCACTGTTTCCATTGAAGCAGTGACACCTAGACTCACCTGAAGCCCGGGAACGATTTATAACATGTACACGCCAAATCAAAACTTCACAAAGGGGCGGGCAAAGACAGACACGACCCTAACCACACGTTGGACCCACGGGACACAACAGAGGAGGGGGAGTGGACGACAGAACACCCCTTAAACTTTTTAAATCAAAGGGACACCCGTAATCCGAGACGAAGAAAGGACAAACGAATTACACACACTCTAGGAACACCGACGGTCCTACGCAAGTCCCCTCTTGTCGTCCTAAGCTCCGACAACTTGATACACGTGCTACCTAAAATTATTTACAGGTGTGGCCTAACATAACCCTGTGCAAAACGGAGACAGAGTGACGAAGCGCAGCAAGCTCTGGGCGAGTTGCCAAGTCAGGAGTGTCGTACTTAAAGTTTTCCTGTCACCGGGGTACAACGATTGGACCAACCTTCCCCAAACTGGACGCCACCCCGACCGACTCCGAAAATCTCCGAGGTTTCTAGGCGGAGTCTGCGGCTCCCTTTGCCTTCTGGTGACGACTGCGGCGTCGCTTCAGTGAGAGACGTAACTTCATGTCAAGACCGGTCTTAGGTAGGAGTAGTAGGAGGAAAAAGTCTTGCTAAGTCGAGTCTCTGTCCAATACCGAGTATACAGAGACGAGGGTGCAGTAGTGTCGGGTGGTAGGGACCCTGACCTAGTGAATTACTATGTTGTCTATTACAGTCTGGGATCGTCGCTAGTGTGTTTTTGTATAATTGGAGTTTGAGCCTTCGTCGGTACTTCCTCCTCATGGACAGGTCGGACGACTCACTCGCCGACAGGAGGAGTCTTAATCCTCCCTTTCCCGTCCAGAGGTTAATAAACGAGAGGACGGTGGGTGTTGGTCGACTCCTGAACAGACGGACATCTTCGCCGCTATTGGCTTCACAAACACCCCCGACGTCGCGACGTAACACAGTTCAGGGGACCGGGAGGTAAGTAACCCGATGAGTTATACCACTTTGCTAAAAAACAAAACGACGAGCAACAAGACTCGAAGCTTTCAGATGTAGGCTCTCCAAAAGGTATATAGGACGTCGGACCGGACAAAACCTAACCCGGGGAGAAAACCTTTCGAATTAAGGACGTAGGACTGTTCCACCTGACCCCTACAGACCTGACACTGACAGACGGAGATTTACTACCACGACCATTCTCCGTCGCCAGGTCCAATTTCCGAGTCGTCCCGACTCTCCGACGTCGTGTTCCTCGTCGAGGCAGCTTTGTCTCCGACCGTCCGCCAGTCGTGTCTGCCGTACTACCTCCAC